TAAGGTGCTCAAAGATTACGATTTCACAAACATGCTTGGTTGGCTGGTCTGTACAATGAAAGACGTCGATGGATGCCATGCTATTTGAAAACTTCATTTTGGGCGAGTATGTCGACCATGTAGGTAAATGAGGATATTAGAGCATTTTTTGATGGGTATGTTCATTCAAAAAATCCCTAAAGTAATTTGTGGAGCAGTATGAGCGTGCAATGAGAAGTAGAATTGAAAAAGAGTTTCAAGCGGACGTCAGATCATTTTCATCGATGGTCCCATGTGCGACAAGGTACGAAATGGAGAAACAATTCCAATCAGTTTACACAATTGCAAAGTTCAAGGAATTCAAAGAATAGTTCACTGGAAAGGTATATTTGAAGTATTATGCACATGATTCGTACATGCATACAACGTATGATGTACGTGAGGACATTATTTTCAATGACTATATGAAGACAACTATTTTTAATGTGCTTGCGTAAAGATGAGTGTGAATTCGAGTGCAGTTGTCATTTATTTGAGTTTAGAGAAATTGTTTGCAAACACGCAATCGTAGTTTTCATCCAAAATTAGGTAAAATTAATTCTCGAGAAGTACATACTGTGTAGATGGATGAAAGATGTCAACAGACCGTATGCGAGGGTTCCGATCAATTATGACTATTGGATTAGTACTAAGTTAGATATGAGAAGTATGATGTACGTAAGGATGTTATTTTCAATGACTGTATGAAGACAACTATTTTTAAAGTGTGCTTGCTTAAGGATGAGTGTGAATTCGAGTGCACTTGTCACTTATTTGAGTTCAGAGGAATTGTTTGCAAACACGTAATCGCAGTTTTCATTTGGAATTAGGTAAAATTAATTCCCGAGTAGTACATACTTCGTAGATGGATAAAAGATGTCAATAGACCGTACAAGAGGGTTTCGATCAATTACGACGATTGGAATAGTACCAAGTTAGATATGAGAAAATGTACAATACATTTACTAAGTTAGCTGACTTGGTAGCACACGATGAATCTCGATCCCATGGAATTATGGAGTGGATTGAATTCCAAACAATAGAGGCATCAATGTTAAATCCTACAATTGTGAGCTCTAAATACATTGATGAATTAGGAAAGCATGCTAGCGAAATCATCTTCAACCCAAAATATACGAAGAGCAAGCGGGCTCTTAAAAAACTTCATTGGAAGAGACATCTAGAAACTAATTCGAAAAAAAAAGTTTTCGTAAGGTATAAAAACTTCAGGTTTTGTTTTTATTTTTATTTTTTAGTACTTCTACATATATTGAATGTGAATGTTTTTTCTCCATGTTTTACAGTTGGTATTGAACTCAAGTACATCGAAAAGACAGCTAAAAGACGATGTTTATCCTCCAATCAATGACCAGGTAGTTGAGCAACAGATTTATATATACCAACATTGCTAAGTTCCCAATTGAACTAGGTGTAAATGACATTATTGATTTCATTTGTAGGAAGTTCACAAGATAGACACCTTCCCTTCCCAATGTGGGTTCATGCAGGAGAGCCTAGGCGATTTTAGTTTATAGGTGTAATTCGTAAATGTATTTGTGTTAACCATTAACTGAAAATAGATGCATTCATAAATGTTTTTTTTTTAATTTGATTGCCATAATTCACTGGGAAGTTTAGCACCTTCATTGAGCTTTAGGTGAGTTCTGGAGAATTATGATGTTAAAATTTCATTCTATTTTTGAGAACATGGGTCATGGGATTATGTATATGTAAGCACATTGATTCAGGATTCAGGTTATAATATGGATTTAATTTCCTTTATGTGGACACATTTCTACTCTTAAGTCCTACCCAATTTCTATCATACTGGGATTTAATTTAATTAATTTGTAGAAGGCTGCACATGCTCCATTCGTACATGGATCCTATTTCTTATGATACTGTTGCCTACCTTGCATCATGTATATTCTCCACTTTTAAAATGCATAACAATGTAACAATTGAGGGCTAAACAAATCAGAGGAACAAGTATTATGCATGCACACTAGAAAGCACTAGCATAGCATGCATAACAAATCATGGACGGTGGATGATTTTTATTACAAGCAACTTAAATATCCTGCATTTGTCTAGCATATTTTCTTATGGCATTAACTAGCTGCTGATTTTGAGAGGCTACTTGAATTTTCACGATTAAACTAAACAGTGGATGCATCAATTGTCACTCAGCAATTTAAAGCCAGTATATACGAAATCAAGAAGCGACAATTAGATATAGAGGTCGAAATTATCCAAATACACATAAATCAGATTAAATCTCCTGAAACTCGTTTTTCCTTGCACATGGTTATGTTAAGTGAAATCTCCAAGTCCCGCTCCTCGATTATTTCTGCACATACTTTTAACATACGAGACAAATCATGGACATGTTCACTTCCTTTGGTAGTGCCACTTGATTTACCTTGCAACAGATACTCTTCATCGGGCAAAACGTTACAAAACTTGAAGGACCTATAGTTGCGAGTACAAGAATTGAATCACGTCCAACCATCTAACGAACCCCTCTCCATAGTTTGGGCATCTCCTCTTTTTGGGGCATTCCAGCATCATGTGTCCTACCCCTTACAAGAATGACATTCTTCTGTTCTTCCCAACCATCAACAATCCTGATTCATTCACAAAAATATTACTGGTTCATCATAAATTGACAGGATTAATAACGTTATCATGTTTCTTCCTTTCAAATATATTACTTAATCAGAAAAAGATATGAACCTTGGTAACTTTTCCCCTCTATGATCTCATCCCATAAAAAATTTGGAGAAAAAAAAAACACAAACTATCTTTCTAAGCAATCAATTCACCATCATCTTACCTCAAAATCTAGGCATTTCTGTGAATCGAACTTTATATATGCAAATTGTGCATATACAACGTACTTGGACATAAATCCTTCAATTTCTAGATTGCAGTCACTATATTGCCCTACAATGCACATGTCAAGGTCCATGGTTCTTTATATTTGTGCAGAACTAGATTACAGTCACTATATTGCCCTAAACCCTAAATATTAAAATAAAATATAAAATGGAATTCAGATTTGAAATTCTTAACCTGCAAGGTTTCGAAGGAAATTGTGCAACTACGTCGATCGAATTTTTGATGGCGTTGTCTTCCTCGTTCTTAGGGATGGCAATTTGAACCGTCAAAATCGAAAATCGCTGTTAACCGAACCAAATGGACTGAAAAAAATTGAACCGATGGTGCAATGGGGCGGATATGGTTTTTATTTTAATGAACTGGTTCGCGGCGGTGCGGGTATGATATTTACGCCGTCGAACCGAAACCGAACTAATTACCCGCTAAAAAAAAAGAAAAAAAAACAATTGAATTGATTATTAGGTTTTACACTACTTTTCTATCTAGCCCAAAACAAAATCCCCCCTCTTCCCCCATTACATTACATGACTCAGCCGGCTAACCCACTTACCATTAGCTCATAATAATAGCATTAGTATGACGGTATATAAATGCAAACTCTACTCTCCACAAACCAGAAACTTATGCACGGCTCCTTTTATTTTATTTTTTTTCTATTGTGTGTAGAAAATTCTACTTCTTCATCATACACTAGAGCTTGTGCAACGTTTAGCGAGAAGAAAACTGACGAATAGGTACTTTTTTTATTTAAATCTTAGTTAAGACCATTTTGGAATAAGCAGTATCATTGTATTCTCTACTTACATTTCTTATTTACTATATAGGAATCAACTTTGAGTGTTGATTTATGCTAGTAAGACTTGTGAGAAAGAATGAATCAAGTAACTTCGATGCACAATAATTAAGAATAAAGGAAAAGTTTAGTATTGTTATATTTATAATATTGTTTTTGTTAAATTTGTATTTTACAATTGAAAATTGAGATAATGTTCACATTTTCGTTTGAAATATTGTTTGATAATGTTTGCATTTTCATTTGAAATATTGTGTTTTTGTTTTCATTTACTTTTTTAATAAAATGTTTTATATCAATTTGACGGATGAACCTATAAAAAATAATTTATTTTTGTGGTTATTAAAGGAACCGAACCGTGCCGAACAAAGATACGAACCGAAGCGAACCGATATATGTGGTTATGGTGCGGTTATGGTATGGTCAAAAAATTGGTGGTGCGGTTATGATTTTGGCTGAACCGACCCATAACCAAACCATTGCCAACCCTACTCGTTCTCCTAGATTTGTTCGTTCGAGATCTTCACCAACGATTTGAAGGACATCTTCATCGGCGAAGACTAAATTCAGGGTTAGACAGAGAGAAAAAAAAACTTCATTGGCCGAATTCGTGATGCCGTCATCTTTCCCATTCTCCTAGATTTGTACGTTCAACATCTTAACTGGTGATTTGAAGGACATCTTCATCAGCGACGACTAAATTGAGGGTTAGAGAGAGAGAGTGAATTTGTTTGTGTGCGTGACTGAATTTGTTTTCAAAAATAGTTTTTGTAAATTATCAGATGATATTTTGACCAGTTTGTAACTTTTTTTGAATTCAAATTACCGCCACATTAGCCGACTGTACAAGATTCCGGAATGAGTTATGTACGTATAGAATTTTCCAACTTTTTATGATATTGGTTTAGTATCATTTGAATGATCCAATTCATTAATTTAAGAACGGTGCTAATATTCCTCAACATATTCCCTCAAAATTCTTATTAGTCGAACATATGAATACAATACAAACACTAAAACAACTAGATGAGATGAGGTTGCTTTTAAAATGAGATGCACCGATTCTAAGCCCCTACTTGACCTTCATTACGCGGAAAAATTAACGGGTGGAATAATATTTTTTTGAAAAATGAATGATTGAAAAAGAATGAAAATTTTTCGATTTACGTATAATATTATTTTGTGAAAAATTGTGCAATTGAAAATAAGAGAGAGAAAAAAGAAATGTAATGAAATTTAATGTAACGGGCTCAAACATGGAGTCTACAACAGACAAGGCTCTTTACCGTAGGAAAAACAAAGAATGAGGAACCATGGAGCGGCAAGCAAACAAGTTCTAGGGTTTAAAGCACAAGTCAGAGAGCATAGCAAACATGGCAAGCCACTGCAAGTTTTGGCTTCCCAGGAAGAACAGATTTTGTGCAGTTCCCCCTCTTAATAATTCCTCGTAAGCATTCTCTCCCTTGCACATACATTTTATCTTGAATTAAGCATAATTTATGAATTGTTGTTCTTCATTCCACCGGCTTAGATTCTGCGGGAATCACACCCAGAGATCTGATGGACAGTGGATTCCGTGCCCAATTGATCCTACTCAGTAATCGCTCCCTTCTTTCTTCTTGCTTCTTACCTACACATTCAAATCTTTATCTTGTAGAAACCTTTGGTTTTTATTTATTTGTTTGAACATTTCGTTCTGTAATAGCTCTGTGCTCGAGGAAAATCTTCAAAGTCACCTAAATAGATGCCCACTACTGAAACAAGCTCAATCTCTGTTGCGTCAGCCGTACTATCAAAAGGGAGTTAATGCCGGTGGAGAGGAGGATGAGGAGGAAACTCCCAAGTCTAGTGGTGTTAAAGATTCTTCTGTTACTTCAGAGATGAAAAGAAATTCTGTCTATGCCATGAGTGTGCCTGAGTTCTCCAAATTGATAGCTAAAATCAAGAGCATTCATGCATCCATATGCAATGACATTCAAGATTCTTTCAAGATCCCAGAGGCTTGTAGCATTTGGACAAATCGACAAGTTGACAAGTATTTAGAAATTCCATATCTTAACACGTTTTCCAGGTTGTTGGTTGTTATTTTATGACTCAACTGATATGAGTATTGGTTAATTTCAGGAAGTTACCTTATCAAGAGAGACATGTTTTACAACAGGCATCAATTCTTGGGAATTTAGAAGATTTTGGGGTGTTAAAAAAATCTTGTGCGAGTTCTAATGCAGTCAAACATTGTGATTCCAATAGAGTGTGTGAAAATGATAATGATGTTTCTGCGGTGGTTGAATTTGGGGCTGGGAGGGGGTACTTGACTCAAATGCTTGCAGATTGCTATGGGATCAAGAAGGTGTTATTGGTGGAGCGAAGGGCATATAAGCTGAAGGTCAGTTCATCTGGACCCAAAATGTGCATTCTTTTGAGGCAAAATATTTCCTAGGTTTATTGGTCTAATTTGGATATGTTGTTTAATATGCACTTCACTCTTAGGATAGGAAAGTTTTAGTAGATGTTGTTCTTTAGTTCTGTTAGTTCTTTAATTCTAATAAATGGTATTTTTAATTTGTTTTCCATTGTGTAATGCTACTTTTTAGGCTGATCGGAGTTTGCGACAGAAAGAGAGCTTGACATTAGAGCGTTTGAGAATTGACAGTAAGGTTTTCCAAAATCCTGTGCTTGAAAGATATCCTGTTATTTCTTTTACTTTAGGATCTTTTTAACTTATTCTCACAGCATGTGAATGACAAATCAGTTAATAGCTTCTATATGGTACCCTTTAGTCCTACAGGATTATGTGGGCGGGTTAGAGATCCCCCGTTTTCTCTTCTTTTTGGGCCACAAGACTTAAAATTCATTTGGTATTGCCTAATAACAAGGTGCTTATAACCACCTGAAAAATATATTATGGTATCCTCTAAAGATTAATAAAATCGTTAAGCTTGTTTAATAAATTTAAAGTGCTTATGAGCACTTTAAAAAATTAAGTGCATTATCCCAACTTTTTCTAAATGGATCAGTTAGCTCTACGGTTGTCTGTTTTGTAATGTTATAAGCAACGCCAAACACTTTTTAAATGCTTATAACTCATAGTCACTAGATGAATAACTGAAAGTGCTTGCAAGCTCTTTCTTTCTATAAGTAGTTCATAAGTAGTCCTGGACATTTTAGAAGATAAGGTGCGTTATCCCAACTTTTTCTAAATGGATCGATTAGCTCTAAGGTTATCTGTTTTGCAAAGTTATAAGCAATGCGAAAAACAGTGTAAATGCTTATAACTCATAATCTTTTACTTTCTATAAGTAGCTCACAAGTAGTCCCAAACACTCTGTTAATGAAATTAAATTTTGCAATTGCTACAATTAATAATTGAACACCTCCATAGATCCCTCACCTCTGAACTTCTAGTCTAAATTTCAAATTGGTTGGACAAATTATATTAATAATAGCATTTATAACAGGCCAATTACAACAGGAACTAGAGGGGGCGAAAGAGTATGATACAGGTGTACATTATAAGCGATTTAAGGTTAGAAACCAGACAAAAGAGGAGATAGAGACTTGGTGTGGACTTTGTTCAGTTAAAGTTTCTTGTGTTGTCCAAAGAAATTTTTCCATTACTTAATTTAGTGGGTCCAAATTTACCTCAGCTGACTATGTTCATAAACTTGGTCTTAGTTCCATCTTAGAGCCATCATGTGGTTTTGTCATACTCTTTTGGAGTATGGTAAACATACGAGTTTCGACGTAACATTCACAAACTCTTATGCAGCAACTATAAGGATCGTTCTAAATTTTATGGGAATGGCGCGTTGAAATCTACAGGGAAGCTACTCTATTTGTTGGTAGATATATTTTGTTAAGTGTGGAAGAAGTATTTTCCTTCACTTTTTACATGCATATTATGTCCCTTGTATTTCTAATTGGTCTACAATGGTTCCCCGACTTTCACTTGAGAATATGACCAAAATAGTTCCTTGTCATGGCACATTTTAGAACCTTAGTCTAGCTTAATACCCAAATTTCATTGGTCAATACCAACACAGTTAAAGGCCATCATTTACTTGGGCATGAAAAAGTAGTATCTTGGACATAAAGTTAAATATATCTTCTGCCTGCATACATAATGATTTATTATTATTTTTCACTCAGCATGCCTAATCAAATATTTGAATGTCTTAGAAGTTTTCCATATTGTTTGAGAAGTATTTGGATGGCAAATAAGTTTTCCATATTGTTTCAGAAGTGTTTGGATGGCAAACTTTATGTTTAGATTTGGACAAATATCTTGAGGTTGTCCATACTTGGCTTTTGAACAAACCGTAGAACAAAGCAACATATGTTTCATGCACAATTTTTTACTTCAACAAACTATGAAAAAGAGAAGAAGAAGAGGAACATCTGATTAGCCCTTTATAATACTACCCCTGTTTCTGTAATTGATTTTCCAGACGCCTCTTGATGACAATGAGGCCTTTAATTAATGCAGTTGAGGATCTGAACTTGAATAGGGTTGAGCCTCTACAAGGAGTCGCCTATATAGCAATTGGTAAACATCTTTGTGGGCCTGCAACAGGTATAGAATATTGTGTATCCTGACTTTTATTTAATTTTTTGTAAGGTAATATCTGTATGTAATTTCCTTTCTATTGGCACATTAAACATCCAGTATTTTGTCTCCAGATATGACCTTAAGATGTTGCATTCGTGAACAATGTTGTCAAGTTATTGCTGCTGAAGCCCAAGACTGCTTTTACTTTAGTGGCTTAGCGATAGCTACATGCTGCCATCATCTGTGCCAGTGGAAAAACTACATAAGTAATCCTTATATTATTTGGTGAAAGTTTTGCAATCATCAATTTTCTCTGTTTTGAACTATCCTCAAATGGTGACGTGCAAACCATCATATCCTGCAGATAAGAGATACATATCAGATTTGGGTTTCACAAAGGAAGATTTTCACGTGATTTCATGGTTTACCAGCTGGGCAGTTGATGCAGATCATGGATCAAATTTCTCGGGCACAGAATGCATGACACAACAAGAGATCATGTATGATACTACATTTATTCTTTATTATTCTATTTTGGATCACACTTGTTTTAAGGGAATTCTTTGTATATCTTTATGAGAAATCTTAAGGAAATTGAAAACTATGCTTTATTTTATACACAACTTCTCAATGGGCAATCATTTGTTCTCTCATTTTTTTTTTCCCTAATTACTTGAACCTGTCTTAGGAGCGAGATGAAAGAGTTTGCCTTAGACTCAGAAGTACGTGGAGTTGGAGAAATAGTGAGAGATATGCAGCCTATTGATAGGGCGGTGTTAGGTTTCATGTGCAAGGATATCATCGATACGGGTAGGTTGATGTGGGTGAAGGCAAGAGGACTAGAATCTCAGCTCGTCAAGTACGTTCCTTGTAGCATCTCCCCCGAAAACCGTCTCTTGGTTGCCAGTTACAAGAAAAGATCTTAATATGAAATTGGTGCTGTTCATTTGGGTGATCAATCTTAACTCGTTATACCAATATATAAAATTTTGACATTCCATTGTAATGATAAATTGGCATCCGTTGTGGATTGTCTGGTAGATATGATTGTGTTGCGGTCCTATGATGGAAAGAGAAGGTTCTAAATTCCAAAGTTTTGATTGGGGAATTACTTGAGTAGACAGTATAGTGAATTAAGATTTTTATTTTTTTCTATTTATCTTTCTTAATATTGTCTAGTATTATTCTTCGTTTTTGAATTTTACATTCCAAGCATGCTAAAAGTCGTTATATCTTCTCTTTATTAATTTGAAATATGAACTTTTTATTGTAGATCTGTCGGCGCAATTGAAATAAAGTTGGAGTTTGGTATAAATAAGCATTAAACCACAACATACTAAATAAATAGCCCAACATTGTTATATTTATATCTTGTTTAAGTTTGATTCTTAGAACGTGTTGATCTGAAATTTTGTACCTCCAATGTGGCCAACAGATTCTATAGCTTCTCGTATCCATATAAGCATATTTTTGCACACTAAGACAAACATTTGGCCACACGTGACTTCCTCTAGTGGTAGTGGAGTTGACAGTATGCAGTCTGACAATTGAGTCAATTGAAGTAATAAGTGTTTGAGTGTAGGAGGTGCTTTAGATGCTAGTTTCCTATATAGAAAGGGATTCGGCTTTACAGAAATATTTAACGGTAAGGACGGCAAAGTTATAGTTTGAAAGTTTAAACTTACATTATCTTTGAAATGACATATTATGCAAGCTTTTAATATGGAAGAAGATAATAGTAATTGTTGGATCTCTATATACGTGGGCAGGCCTCTTGTCATGAGTATTAATCAATCATAAACATTAAATATTAATATCATTTTGTTACCCAAAATTTGATACAAGACTTAAAATTAACTTGTTTGGTTGGGTGAGGCAATTGTGGCAGTAAATTGTCACATCAATCATTTACCAAAGTTCATAGAAGATCTTCCACTAAACCCATAATAGCTTCGCTTCTTTAGTTGGGGTTCGGTTCTCGCATGGGAGCGATTCCAACAAATTAGTTTGGTCTTCATAGAGGTTCGGCTAGAATTGCCTTATGGGCAAAAAATGACGTGGAGTGAGTCTAGGTTTGACTACCACGTGATCGTGCTTGAAGCCTCGCTGATGAAGGCATAACAAAATGTGTTTTGCTAACCTTAAAAGGTTTTACAATTTTGCTTGCACAAGTAAATAAGTGAATTTTAAAATAATTTTATTGATCAAACTAGAAATATGTTATTTATTTTAACAGTAAAAAAATAAGTAAACTTTTAGCTAAAATAAGAATAATAACTTATTCAAAAATACTGATGGTATTGAAATTAGCAATGATTTTTTAAACCATTTTATAATGTGTCATCAAGTTACAACCTTCCTAATTGTTTATCTACACTTTAAATTTTTTAATAAATGTTACTCGAAGGGAACAATTTCCATTCAAAGGACTATTAGTTGATGAAAATTCAGGCTTTGACCTTATTTTATCCACATGTTCTCACTTAAAACAATTCAAAAAACCAAAAAAAAACCCAAAAAAGGAAAAAAGAAAAAAAGAATATGAGAATATAAGAATTAAAAACGAAAAGGCAAAAAAATTAAATATGAAGAGGTGTCATCTTCAGGGCACATCTCCAAGTGGTAAAAGGGAAATGTGGAGAAATTCAGCTTTACTTGAGACTGCCGCGTCAAAGGTTCGAATCTTGAAATATGGATTTGGCTCTTGGGTAAGTGCAAGTGTACAAGCAGCCTTCCACCCTGTACCCTTGGAGGCATAATCTGCGATTTACCTCCCTCACGATACTCCAGGGCAGGGGCGGTGGGGAACCCTTAAGGTTGGGGTTCAATCTTTTTAAGAGCCTTCTACCTGGAACTGTTCAGAGAAAAAAAGGGGCCTTTCTGGCCCTTTCATTTAAGAGGATCAGTCAAAGCAAAAGTTTATTTAAAAAGCCTATGAACTATATTTTTTCAGATAGATAGCCTCAAGATTACAAGGAAAAGAAAAATATAATTTGTAAATTACTAAAATATCTTTGTATGTAAAAAGACATAATACCCTAATTCTTCTTTCAATTTCCATTTAGCCCTAATTCAATTTTGGCTTCCTTTCTTCCACAATCAGGTCGACATCTCTCTGTAATTATTTTTCTTCTTTATCATCATCTTCTCTCTTTCATGAAACCCTAAAATCTATTATTGTCATTTTCTTAAACATTCATTTAGTTGAAGTAAATAATCAAAGTTTACAATATTCTTGATGGACATTTGAAAAAGAAGATAAGGTAATGTTAAATTTCAATATTTTGGCTACCTCCTTTTTCAATTTTTCTGAATCATATATTGTGATTTGTGTTTATGGTGTTCATTTGTCAATAATGACTTTGAATTCATTTTATCATTGAATTAAAGTTTTAATATGGGTTACTTTCCATTTTTCTTATTATCCCTTAATTTTTGAAGTGAATATGTTGGTAAACACATGTTGGACTATTCTATTTGTTGTTTTACTATAAAATATAGATTACATCTTTCCCGTTCAGAACAACTTACATATCATTTTCTGCAAACCATAGCGACATACATCTAGTTTTTAATAATGTACGAAATTTGATATTTGATGAGAAATTTCACAATTTTTATGTTGAATTATAGTTATGGACATCATGGATTCAATTTGTTATCTAGTTGAATATAAGCAATCAATTGAAGGTGTTTAAAAATGAAAATTTGTAGTGAATGGCAAAGGGAAAATATTGATTATTCTTTTTTCGAAAAAAATTTCTTTGAGTGAACTTGTTTGTTAACGTTAGGGAGATATTGAAGGTCGATACAATGCTATACAAAATGAAGATGTCAACTTTTGTTCCTATAATGTCAAAGGCTCCAACTGTAACAAAACTAGTCATGTTTCCTCTCCCTATAAATGCCAAACAGTTGTTAATGAAAAAAATTGTTTATTAGAAGCGCAAAATGATTTATTAGATTCTTGTATGAAATTTGTAACTTTATTATTTTATATTTATTGGAAGTGCAGAATGATTTATTAGATTTTTGTAGTCATTGTGCTATGATCTTTTTTCTACTATTAGAACAAAATTAAAGTCATTTTACGTAGTTGTATTTTTTTTACATTATAGACAAACGAATTTTATATCATTATAGTTGACGCATATGTTGTTCCAATAAGAAAAATGCATAAATTTATAAAGCGACATTGAAGTCGCTCTTGAGATAGAAAACGATTTTGATGTTGTTCCAATACAAAAATATAGACATTGAAATCGTTCTTGAGACACAAAACAAAATTGATTCTGGGATGGTAAACAACTTAGAGATGCACATGCTAACCAAATTTTTTTGGGCCAACGTTTCGGACCCCAAACTTTTATCACTCTTCAATGGAGACCTTTTCTCATACAATTTTCAAAAATTGACAATAAATCATAAGTATCAAACTTACGAAATAACATAACGATATCCACATCTCAATTTGGCAAGATTAAAATCGTTCATGTTCAAATCATAACAAAAATAATCTAAATATTTTTTCCTCAATATATAACGATATTGATATCATTGTGTATTAAACTCACGAAATAACATAGCGACATTTATGTCGTTCAATACAATTTTGAAGACATTGAGATCGTTTCAATTCAAATCATAACAATTTTTAGCCAGAACGATAAAATTATCGTTTTATATGAAAAGGAATAGAGATAGATGCCTTGAACCTGCCCCACCCACCTCGCAGCCCAAGTTTTCATTTTTTTTTCATTTTTTTTTTTTTTTTTTTTTTTTTACACATTTTGAGCTCATGTATGCTCATGTACTGGAGAAGAGGTTAGAGAATAGTATCTATATTTCCAATGTTTCTATTCTTCAATTAAATATTGGACAAAATCATACACCCATTTAGTGCGGTGAATTTGTAAGCACATTAAACTTCATTTTGGCTCCATAGTCAGTGGTTTTAGAACACGATTTACAGGTCTAAGTTTTCAGGTTTCATTGAATGCAAGCCTTGCTACAGTCTATGAATTTCGACTTTCCCCTAAAGCTCTTTTGGGTTGTATTCTTATTGTCCAGTTCATTTTGATGCTTTTCATGCTTTTTTAGTTGATATAATTGTACATGTGTGCATGCTGAAAAGTGGGGTTTCCTCTGTTATGGCAACTTCCATTGCCTTGGCATTAAATTTAACTTTTGTTTGATGTTTCAGATATATTTTTTGGTGTTTTAAATATGTGTATATTATTATTATTATTATTATTATTATTATTATTATTATTATTATTATTATTATTCACGGGGTGGGTTTTTGGCCCCATTCGTGGTAAAGCCTAGCTGGGGTGGGGCGGGTTATTTTGCCATCTCTAAAAAGGAACGGTATCTATGTCGTTATAATTATGATTTGAACTGAAACAATTTCAAAATAATCAAACTTTTACCAAAAAAAATATGAATGTCGCTATATTATTTCGTGGGTTTGATGTATAACGATATCATTATCGTTCAGTACAATTTTGACGACATTGATATCATTTTAGTTTTAATCATAATTAAAATGACATATATATCGTTTTAGTTTATATAAAATGATAATTATATCATTTTTGCTAAAAACGACGATTCGATCGTTCACGACCACCCGACATTCATCCGACACATGTAGGACGATCGAAATAAATCATCAAAACCGATTACACTTAAAAAAACTATGGGAACATTTGTGTTCTCACGATTGTATACAACTTTCGTACTATTCTAACAGAAATAAGTATCTCTGTTCATTCTTTTTAAGTCATTCGAGTGCTATTAAGCCACTTGATGACCTTATTTGATCGTTCTAAGTATGTTGAAGGCATGTTGGGTGGTTATGGATTGTAGAATCGTTATTTTTAGCTAAAATGATATAATTGATGTTTTCTATGAAAAGAAATTATATCAATATTGTTGTAATTATTATTTGAATTGGAACGATTTCCAACTCGTCAAATTTGTACTACAATGATATGGACGACGTTGTGTTATTTCATGGTTTGGTGCATAACGATGTCATCATCGTTTCAGTACAAATTTAACGATATTGATATCGTTTCATTTTAAATCATAACTAAAACAATATATGTATCATTTTAGTTTATATAAAACGATAATTATATCGTTTCTGCTA